ACAGGAAGGGATTAAGAGAAAGCAGCTGTGGCAAGGACCTTGCTCCACAGTGAAGAAGTTGGCTCAGGAAGGAAGGGAGGGGAGATCCACATGTACAAGGGCAGCTTATGGGCAGAGTGCCCGCCTGGCAATCAGCATCCTGCAAAAAAGAGGGTCAGCTTCCCTGTTCTTAATAATTAACACAAGGTTCTTGGTCTGGTGTTAGAAGTCCTGTCCCAGTCTGTCTTCCCCTTACAAGCTGCCCCAGCCCCAGGCCCCATCTACAGTGTCACAACAGGGCCTCAGCAGCTTAGCAACCACAGGAAGTTTCTCTTTGCTGGCCCTCCCTGGGAGTGTATCCTGTTGGTCTGAAGCCTGTTGCCTGCCATACCATGCCTTATTGAGCATCCAACCACCCCCTTTTCAGAAAATGATCCCCAAGTCACTGGCTTGGGCCTGAGAGTCCTTGAACTGGTCCAAGAAAATGTTCAGGGGATGTGGTGGTGGTGGTGGTGGTGGTGGTGGTGGTGGAAGCCATTTGCCACATCCCTTCTAGGAGAACAAGAGTAGTGTTCAGACAAAAACACAAGAGGGCACCAGAGCACACTGTACCAGTAGGGCACATTAAACAGAAACCAGGAATGGGCTTACAGCTTGTCTCACTGGGGGTGGAGTGTGGGTGGTGTGGGAGGGCAAGTTCTGTTTTTGTGACAGGAGCATCCTGGGTTTCCATTCAACCAAAGGAATCCTCTGTCCCAGTTCAACCAAAGGGACACAGTCTCTTCCAGGTAGTTCAGAGACATCTCTGAGCCCATGTGGTGTGAGTGCTAATAGTGCAACCAGGTAACACTCAGGCCTCCAGATTCAGTTAGCTCAAGCTTCCCAGAAACATCAACAAATGGATCAAAACAATGACAGCCAGAATAATGACCAACCAAGACAAAGAGTGCTCAATTACCAGCTTGGTTCAAATGCTCAACATGTCAGGAGTCTTTGGGGGGACTTCCTGGCCAATGCAGCATATGTTCAGGTCCATGAGAAGTTCCATAAAAACCACCAGTCACATATGCAATCAGCAAGAGCAATTATTAAAATTACCAACATATTTGTGTCTAATCACCTGCAAAAATGGCAAATTGTGACCTGGAGAGAAGCTCGAAGGCTCCTTTTAATCAGGGTTAGATAACTTCCAGGGAGGAGAGTTTAGTCTGGGGTCTGATTGGTAGGTTTAAACAAAAAGTTTATAGGATTGGTAGGTATCTCTAGTGGTTAGGGACTTTCCAGAGGTGGGGTAGGGAAAGCTATCTTTTTCAAGCAGAAGGCTGTGGAGCACCTGCTGATTAGTTACAGATGAGTTGTGCTTTTCCTGAGAACTATTTGCTAAGCTCCAACCAGCTCCTCCAAACTGAAGCTAAGGGCTGGTCCCTGGCAGGACTATTAGGAGAGCCTGTCATGGCCCTTGTCTGGCTCTCTGGCTGCTCATACAAAATATATGAAAATTGCTGTGTCTCAATCCTGTGACTTCCTAGTACTCTTTTCTTGCCTCTTTCTATCAGCTCAGCATATTTATTCTAAACTCCAGGGGAAGCTAGACTGGGGTGAAAGACGCCCCTGTAGGATGCCTCTGCTACAACCTGCTGGGGACAATGTTAGGATTGGTCTGTTTGGTTTGAAACATTTTTATTTACTATGACAATTTCATGCATCTATGTAGCATTTTTATTCTCTTCACCCAATATTCCTCTCTGTTTTCCCACTCTTATTCTCTCTGGGATCCTTCCTCTTCCCAGTGGTTGCCCCTATGATTTCTAGTCTTTATGTTTTTAAATACTCCACTAATTTTCCTAAGGATCACTTTCGTGTTCTGGTGTGGGGTTATTTACTTGATCATGGGCAACTTTCTAGTGGTCACATGTTAAAGAACAGTGACTCTTTCTCCCCCACCAGTAACTAATCCTAATATCTCCTCAGCTAAGTCCTCATTTGACCCTGATTTCCTTCATGCTGAAATGTGGACAGGCTAGATCTTTGGAAGTCTCTGCAGGGATCCCTGGTTACCACGAGTTCACACATACAAATGCCATGTCATATTCAGAAGACATTATTTCAGGCCACTGCCCCTGCCCATCCTCTGGCTCTTCCAGGATGTTTCCTGAACCTGGTTAGGGTGGGGGTTGATAAAGATGTCCCTGTTATATTTAGCAATGAGCACTCAACTGTCACGTGTTCTCACCACTTTGACCAGTTATGAGACTGTGCATTCAAACACTACCCACTGCAGAAACAGAACAAATGGGAACTTAGCAGCAACAACATCAACAAATTCCTTGTCTGAGTAAGGTGTCCCTAATCTCTGGTGTAATCAGAAGTATTGAGAAGGAATTGGCCAGCATGACTATTTATCAAACAGCAATAGTTGAAACTGTGGGCATATTTAATTAGGGAATCCTCTTTAGCTTCATGGTTTTTATTAGAAAGTTGTAGTTCTAATGAAGAAATGTATCTATTTGTAATGACTGATATTTCACATCACTATAGTTTGTTGTGTTCATACTCAGTATAAGACATTTAAGACAAAGTTTTAGAGTTGCTTATTTTTTTCTTGCTTTTAGTAGTTTGAGAATTTTGTACAATGAGTTTTATTTGTATTTTGATTATATTTATTTATTCATTCTCTGTGTACTCATATACTGGGGCTTGGTGCCCATATGCTAGAGCGTGCATATGGAGGTCAAAAGACAAGTTGTGGAAGTCAGTTCTCTCTCATCACTATGTGAGTCTTGGGACTAGAACTCAGATCATTTGGCTTAGTGACAAGTGGCCTTACCTGCTCAGGCATCTTGCTGGCCCAAGATAGTTTTACAGTGTGTATAATTAGAACAAGGGATGGGGATCAAAAGGATGGGAGGCTTTGTAAAAAGATTCCATGAACTTTTGTCTTGATAACTTTCACCAGGCTACATCCGGTGGATCCAGGCTCATGGTTGCCCTGATATATGTAACTATTTTCATTTTCATCAGGGTCTAGTCAGCTTTTGAGATTGGCCAAATTTATCACTAAATAGTTAATTTCAGTAGCCATCAGAAAAGCTTAGGTCTGGCCTCCCCTCCTCTGTTAGGTTTATGTGAGGCTGACAGAGTTGAACCTGGATGTCTATCCAGCATGGAAGATAAGTAACAAAATTCAGAGGGAACTCTGGTATTTTAGTAAGAATTGCCTAATCAGTAGGCCAGAAGCTGAGCTGCAACCCAACACCCTCTGAGATCAGCATTTTCCTGAGGATGGGGAGCAGGGTTTGGGCTTTGTGGCCTTTGTTCTTGGTTCTCTGTTTTGTTGCTGGCAGTGCTGGGACCCAGGGACTGTCCCTGTCAGCAGAAAGGCTGTCCCCAGGAAACGGAAATACTCACCTGAAGGAAACATAAGGTTTAGAAAATTTTACAAAAATATGTACATACCAATTTAGGTATTAAAATATCTAATACCATAACATTATATAAAAATGTAATGTCTACTAGCCACGAATTGCTGTTGGATAAGGTTTTTTTGTAACTTAGCACAACCTTCATCTTATGGTTCTGATGAATATCATTTCAATTAAAGTCTACTTTTGTAAATGTTACCAAAGCAGATCAGTATCCTAAGAGAACCTCCTTGATATAAATAACACCAGATTTTAGAACTGTATCAGTGTAGTGAACTTTGACCTTAGAAATTTTAATAACCTTTAGATATAGCTAACTCAGAGATACACATATACTTTTTTTAATCTACAGCCATGCTCTATCTTAAAACAAAACTAATTTACAAATAATTTTCCTTCAACATTTCTAAAAATATATACTAGCATACTTATGACCTATATCAAGTCCATGGATATAACAGAAGTATCAATACAGATTGTCAAATCCACATTACTATTATCTATATCAACTCAGCCTATTGACTACTCTTTCTCCTGTCTCCTGCACATGTTGTCTGTGTTCATTTGAAATGCTGCAGGTGCCCTCTTGGACCATCTGTGTAGCAAGCATCGACTGGGATGGGTGATGTCCTAACAGTACTTTATCTGGCTTGGCTGTTGATTCAGTTGTTCAGGGACACTAAGTGTCTTTAAAGGAAAGTGGTCTAGGACATATCTGTGTGGCACTGGTGACTGGACTGGCAAACACTACACCCCATATAAATATGCATTATACTTTGCAAAGTTTGGTCCCTTTTCACCTCAGAAAGAGACTTGGCCATTGGCCTTGAATCCAACTCTCTATTGCAAAAGTGTTATATACTACACATCAGGAAGGAATAATCAATAAATACTCAAATGAAGAAACTTCAGTAAAAGAACAAATTCAGAGAGTTGGATATGCCAAGCAGATAAATAGGGAACTGTATGACAACCCAAGACCAGAGAGTGTGAGGGGTCATTACCAGATTTAAGCAGAAAAAATAATAAGAAGAAAATATTTTCCTTCAAAATACCAGGAGTACTGAACAGTTCAGAAAGGCCAAATAGTATTGATTACAAAAAATGATGGGTGCAGGCACAGTCAGACATGTAGTCCAAGCAGGACAAAGGCGAGGCCATGATTACATACAGCTGAATGATACTGGAAGCTAGAAGGTGAAGGACCTTTGCATATGTAGTCTACATAGCAGGGAGGCACAGAGCAGGCCGAAAAGGTAAGATGATCTGTGAAGAGACAATGGAGACTAAAACATTAAAATCTCCTGGGAAGGGCTCAGCTACCTGCAGAGAGAATGACCCTATTGCGTCACTTACAGGTGAAATCTAGAGTAGCCAGATTCATAGAGGTAGAAAACAGGGTGGTGAGCAAAGCTGTGGGGAGAAGGAAATAGAGTGATGTTAGTCAAAGGACACAAAATCCCAATTGTGAATATGAACACAGTGGGAGATGTAATGTATAATTACAACCATTAAGGATGGGATGTAGCAATATATTTGAAATTTACTAAAATGAAAATTTCAATTTGACACACATCCTCTCAACTTTCTTTCTTTCAGGGCCTTTATTTGCACACAGTCATGGGTCAGCTGTTCTCTTCATCTAAGGATGATCGCCACAATGATTTGGCCTCCAGCTTTGCTGACTATTTTAAGAAGTTTAAAACAGGAAACAAAATCATTCCTCAGGAAACCATAGCTTCAATTGAGTTAAGCCTGACACAAGGAAACATTCATGGAGCAAACTCTTCAATCACTGATGCATTAAAAAAAATTGACAGTAACCCACTCAATGTTGCTTTGACCGGGGAGTCTGGAGCAGGGAAATCTGCCCTCATCAATGCCCTGAGAGGGATTGGGCATGAAGAGAAAGACGCAGCTGAAATTGGAGTGGTGGAAAAAACCATGGAGAGACATCCATACAATCACCCCAATATTCCCAATGTGGTTTTTTGGGACCTGCCTGGGATTGGAACCACAAATTTCCCACCAAAAGATTATCTGGAGAAAATGAAGTTCCATGAGTATGACTTCTTCATTATTGTTTCTGCCACACGCTTTAAGCAAAATGATATAGACCTCGCCAAAGCAATCAGCATGATGAAGAAGGATTTCTACTTCGTGAGAACCAAGGTGGACTCTGACTTAAACAATGAAAAGGAATTCAAACCACGAACCTTTAACAGAGAAAAGGTCCTGCAGCAGATCCGCACCAATTGTGTGAAAACGTTTCAGGAGAATAACATTGAAGAACCACCAATCTTCTTGATCTCTAACAAAAATTTGTCTGATTATGATTTCCCAATCCTGATGGACAAGGTTATGAGTGTTCTCCCTGTACACAAACGACATGTTTTTATGCTCTCCTTGCCTAATATTTCAGGTGCAGCCATTGAAAAGAAGCAACAATCCCTGAAACAGAGGATTTGGCTGGAAGCCTTTACAACTGACCTCCTGAGAATCATCCCTTCCCTGACCCTCTTCATGAGCAGTGATGTGGAGAATCTTGAGAAAAGCCTGAACTTCTATCGAACTGTGTTTGGAGTGGATGATGCATCCTTGCAGAGTTTGGCTAAGGACTGGCAAATGTCAGTGGATCAGCTCAAGGCAAAGATGAAATCTCCTAATGTGTTCACAACTACAAAGAAAGAAACAGTACAAGAAAGGCTTTCAAGATATTATGAGGAGTTCTGTTTGGCTAATGGGCATTTGTTTAATAAGAATGTTTATGTTAAGGAATTATATTGCCTAAAGTTATATTTCGTTGACATGGTGACAGATGATGCTAATGCTCTTCTCAAAGAGATATGTTCAAGAAACAACTTGGTTTCTGATTAGGCTGAAATCCTGTAGCTGTCAAACATCAGAATCAATGACAGAAACACAGGACACTGATATTGCAAAACAACATACTTAGTTTATTCATGCCATCCAGGCTTTATCCATACTTAGTGTTCATATATCCACATTAGCTGTAGCAAGGGGATCAATCAGATGTATGTAAATAAGCTGAGATCTAAAAGCTATCTACTCACTTTGAATAAACCCTCAGATGGAGTAATTGCACACTTATTTAAATTAGTTTACTATAAAGCAGCATCCATTTTTAAGTTTAACATTGTGATGGTTATAGTTTTGAACAGACTTTAGATCACATGGGAGATGAAACTCTGGACTTGATTCGGGGAATTATTTTGCTTATGTTAATTGATGTCGGGAGCCCTGCATGCTACGGATAGCATCATTCCCTAGCTAGTGTGTATCTTTGAGTGTTTATGTGGAGAGAGGTGCTAATCAGCAGCATGCTTTCATTCATCCATTGCTCTCTGCTTTTTCACTGTGGGTAGAGTAGCACTAGCCGCCTCCAGCTGCTGCTGTGAATTCTTGGTAATGATGGCCTCTGTAACCTTCAATTTGATACTTGTGTCCTTTCTTGATAGCAGTACCCAAGGAAAAACCATAACTGGGCTGGAGACATGGCTTGGTAGATAAAGAACTTACCTTACAAGTCTGAATACCTCTGTTCAGATCTCTAGAGCTCACATAGAGCCAGCTAAGCATCTGTAATCACACACTCCTGTGGTGAGATAGGAGGCAGAGACAGAGAATCCTGGAAGCTCTGAGGCCAGCTCACCTGCCACATGCAGCAGTGAATAAGAGACCCTGACACAAGGAAGTGAAGGTAAAAGTCAACACCAAGGTTGTCCTTTGACCTCCGCACACATGCCATGTCATGTTCATGCCTGCAATCACACGTGCAAATGCACACAAACCAAAAGTTTATTCTTCAGAAGAAGGAAGTTTTGGGGCAGTAGCTCAATGGTATCATACTTGCCTAACATGCTTGAGACCTCGGGTTCAATCTCTAGCATTCCAGAGAAAGGGTAAAAGGAGGGTGGATAAATGGCTCCGAGGTTAAGAACACTGGCTGTTCCTGCAGAGGACCCCGGTTCAATTCCCACATAACAGGACCCACATAGTAGCTACAGTAGACTGTATCTCCTGTTCCAGGGGATCTGATACCCTCTCCTAACCTAAACAGGGACCAGTCACAGATGTGTTAAAAGATATACATGCAAGGCAAACATTCATAAAATAAAAGTAAGTAAAGAACAAAATTTAAATATATATGTTTAAATAAAGAGCTAACATGTGCACAAGAGAAACAATAACCATAGAGATTGCAATAGTCTTAATAATACCTAAGATTACTAAATATTCTATTTAATCAAAATGCTTGAGAAAATGTTAAAGAAGCTCTCTAATTATGTGCCAGAACCAGTGAAGATGAATAAATTCCTCTACTTTATAGATTTTAAATGCTGTGATTACTAAAATACTGATTTACTCCATATCAATAAAAACCATTTAATAAATTCTTTTGTTAAAATATAGACATTTGTTGCTACTTGATATTCCCAAGAACCCATAATAGCTCCACAATGACTGTATTACTATTTTTGGATGATTATCTCATTGTCCATTCCCTGGCTGACACTTTATCTTCCATGAAATAAAATTCAAATAACCATTACATTTGTTTCTAAGACTGAAAGAAAGACATAGAGGTAAGGGAAAAGTATTCATGGTGGAGTGGTTTCTTAAGGTTTGGGCTGCTATAATCCTATAGAGTATGTGGGTTAACAATAGAATTTTGTTCTTACACTTCTAGTGACTGATGTCTGAGATTCAGATGCCAATGTGGGCAGACATTCAGTGAAAGCACTCTTCCTGGTAATGCCTCATATGGCCTTCCATGGTGTATGTGTTCAGAGAATGATTCTCTTGTCGCTTCTTCTCACGATCCTATCATTTGGACTCCATTTCCATAACCTAGTCTAACCATAGATGCCTCCCAAAGTCTTTCCTCCTAACATGATCCCACTGAGGGGTTGGGCGATTAATATATGATTTCAGGAGGGAAAAACAATCAGTCTATAACAGGTTATGCAAATTATGCATAAACTTAAGTTGCTTTCTTTACTTCTTTTTTTTTTTTTTTTTAAATTTACTATGTTGTTTATTATGTTAACAGTGTTCTGCTTGCATGTATTCCTGCAAGCCAGAAGAGGGCACCAGATCTCATTACAGATGGTTGTGAGCCACCATGTGGTTGCTGGGAATTGAACTCAGGGCCTCTGGAAGAACAGTCAGTGCTCTTAACCTCTGAGCCATCTCTCCAGCCCTTAAGTTGCTTTCTTAATGGAAGGTATGGCACTCAAATACCAACACCAAATACTCCAAAGTATTTTATTTTATTTTATTTTTTTACCATAAATTGAGATGCAGACTTACCAAAAGATGACTAACTAGAGACACCAGACAACCCCTTCTCCACTGAAGAAATAAAATCTAAGAACAAGCAGATGATGTTTGCTGAGAATGTTTGGAGAATGCTGGAACATGAAAGAGAGTTATGAAGAATGGAGACTCCAGATAGTCAGGTCAAGAAGATAACAGCGCACCTTGCATAGAGTGCTCTGGATTCCCAGCCTGGGCTTGTTTGCATGTCATAAGTCTTCTTACAGCTCAAAAATGAACAGAGTAGAGCCTGAGTTGTCCATATCAGCACCACAGAGGCATGGATTTTTTTGTAAGGCAATACTGTAGCCATCCATGGTTTTGAGCTCCACAAGGACTTATAATGAGTACACACTGTCCCACATGGGTACCTCTATTTACATAGCTCCCTCCCTATGTCAGATATTGGTGCGTGCTGCCATTTTTAGACCAAATCTATCCACACTTCACACCAATTTCCATTGGTATGGCACACACTCAAATGCTGTTTGAGTGTTTCAATCACTGTACCCCAAATTACATGTACCTCTTTGGCTATTAGAATGCCATCACCTGTGTGACTTGGTTCAGATTAGGGTGTTTGACTTTGTTACCACACTCATTAAGTCCTTAGAGTCATCAGTTGCAATTTGTGGAGACACCATAGGTATCCAAACAAAACCAAAACCTATGTTGCCTCTAACACAATACCCAATACCTTCAGGGGAAACTATTTTCCTAATTAATTCTCCTGCCCAATTGATAAGACACTGGCACACTAGATGCACCAGATGTATCAAAGAGGATCAAGAAGTATGGAAACTCAAGGCAAAATGATACAACCAAGGAAACACAAAACCTTCTGTCAATGAATACTGCAAGAGAAGTTGAGTAAATGCCAGAAAAAGAAAAGAGTAATTCTAAGGAAACTGACTGAGTATAAAGGGAATATATAGCATGATTACACTGAGACTATTAACACAATTCATTGTATGAATAATGAGAAATTCATCAGTGAAGTAGAGATCTTTCTTTTACAAAATGCTGTAGGACTAGGGAGGTTAATGGACAAAACATTTGCTCTGCACGCACGAAGACGTGAGTTTACACAGACAGACAGACAGACAGACAGATAGAGATAGAGATATAGATTAGAATGGTTTACAAATTCTGGCCCAGCTAGTTCAAAATAGCTGTCTACCAATGGAAAGAAGAGGAATCCAGCAGTTGCTCCGTCCACGAAGCTGAAAGTCTCATCTGGTCTTCAGTATAGGCTGGAATTCTGAAGAACTAGGCTCTAATGCTGGTGAAGGAAGTAACTTGCCAGTGAGAGTGAGGACAACCAGGCAAAGAACAATTAACTTCCTTCTTCCATGTCCTTTACATTGGCTGTTAGTAGAAGGTGTGGTCCAGATTAGCTGGATCTTCCCACCTCAAGAGATCCAGATTTAGTGTGAGTCTTCCAACTTCAAATGCTTTAATTTCAAAACATCCCTCGCAGATGGAACTAGATGCTTGGGTTTTAGTTAATTCCAGATATGATGACACTGACAACCAAGAATAGCCATCATACCAAGTAAAGTCAGATGTGGTACTGTATTTCTGTAAACCCAGTGCCACAGCAGTGGATGGCAGGCAGAGACAAAATAATTCCTAGAAGCTTGTGGGCCAGCTAGCCTTGCAGTAAGAGACCCTGCCTCAAACAAGAAAAAGCCTATGGACCAGGAGCCATGGTTGTCCTTGACTTCCAAACCTGTGCTGTGCAATGTGCTCAAACAAGGATACACATCACACACACACACACACACACACACACACACACACACACACACACACTCACACACATGATGAGTTTTAAAACAGGAAGACAAATTTTAAAACCGGAGAAGCACAATATCTTCTATTTATCCTTTATGTATTAAAAAAGCATAAATCTTGTACCTAAATAAATTGAATTAATTTAAAACTTCAATTTAGGCTTCAGGAATAGTATAACAGATGAATCATTTCCTCAGTGTCTCTGAATGAAGAGTCAGGGTATCCAGGATATGCTACACTCTGACAAAAGAAGAACAAACAGAGGGACTTTAGGGATGGAGAAGAGGGTTCTGGGACCGCTAAGAGCAAAGAGGAACAGAACCAGGAAGCAGAGGAAAGTGTTGATGGTAAAGACAGGAATGTTTGGACCAAAAGGCTGGTCTGGAACACTTAGGGAGGAAAATAAAAGAGCTTGCAGTTGGGCACGAGTTGCCCTGATGGCCAGAAAGAAAAAAAGGCAAAGCTCCTTCCATCTTGGCAGGCTTTGGCTGGCTCCCACGAAGCCACAAACAATGAGACACATTGGCAAGGCACCTCTGTCCACTCACCAAGTCTGCCTTCTAATGAAGGTAATTGTAACTAACTAAATTTTGATTAAGAACAATTTTCAAAAAACTTCCACCTACTCCAGAAAGGTCACCCACAGTCCACCCCACGGAGAAGGAGCTAACTCTGAGGTGACTGAGGAAAACTGCAGCTGTGTCTTGGTAACAGTGATAAGAGTTAACTCCGCACAGACAGTGAAGGAAAGAGGGCCCATGCTAAAACTACAATTTGGCCATATAACCTGAAGGCAAAAAGAACATAGTGCCATGAACGGCCAGCATCTGGTGCCAAGGTCTGAGATCAGCAACACTTGGAAGCTTGATGAGCAGCAGGACAAGCCAGGCTAATGGTCAGCAGAGGAGCCAAGGTCACATCAGGGAGCTTCAAATGTGTCCACCCCTAACTGGACAAATATCAATGAACACCACATGACCATCTATGTAGCATGTGACACATCCTAATTTATTCAGCCCAGGATAAGTCCAGAATATCATTCAATCTCAGCAGAAATGACCCCAGGCTTTGTCGAAATCCCTACAATACAGTAGTGTAAATTCTCTCCTCTTGGGTCTCCCTCCCACACAGGAGTGATTCTAACCTTTCTGGAAACCACTGCTTAGATTAATAAGGAAACAGCAGATGTCAGTTCAGAACCCTGCAGAAAGTTGTAGGGAAAGGAGACTCCCTTTGCCCCACTCCTCCCTTGTTCTAGGGTTTAAATCTAAAGAAAAGCAAGACCTTCAGGAGCATACACTGTGAAACAAACACTGAACTGAGGACAACCTGCCTGGACAGAGAGCTTTCCATGCCACTGTACACCTTGGGCAAGCACAGAGGAGGTGATGGATACCGAGAGAATTGACGAAGTGCCCTGCAGTGGAGGGCACAGAGGAAGGGAACAAAGTGTACTACTACCAGCCAGTGCATAAAAAAATAACTAGCTATGAAGACTCTTCACTCCATACTGATTGCTGGAGAGATCCTAAATGGAAACAAGCTTTTTTTTTTTTTTTATGTGGTGGGCATAAGATTAGAAGTTTGTCTACATTTCAGTCTTTGGAACTTGTAAGTATGTTACATAGGAAGAAAGCCTTGAGGTTGACCACAGAATTACAGTTAATTAAAAAACTTCCTATTGTCATTGAGAAACACCTAACTGATTAAGATATCCACCTACTCAGAATCAAAACATTGAAGCAAACAGAAACTGAAAATAACCTGACATAGATATTCCGTGATAAAATTAACTCACAACCAAAACTAGTCAGAAGAGATGAAGAAAGCTACTGTATGTTAATAAAGCAACAATTTGTCACAAACACGTAACAATTATTTGTCAGCATATATTACCAAATGTTGGAGACACCTAGGAGACAAAGATTTGGTATTTCAGAGTGATAAACAAAATTGACAATCTTTTAGCCAAACTAATCAAAAGAAAAAGAGAAGATAGAAATTAGTAAAATTAGAGATGAAAAGATGAACTTTACAACAGGTACTAAGGAGAGAGAGAGCTGAGTAACTGAGGAGTACTTTGAAACCTACATTTCAAAAACTGGACAACTGGAAGGAAATGGAGAAACTTCTAGATACATAACTTAGCAAAATTAAACCAAGATAATATAACATTAAAACACATCTCTAAGGAGCAAACATTTCTAGACCTGGAGTTTTACTAATGAATCTGCTTATTATACCAAAGGCTGCTTAAGTAGTCTATTTCCTCCAGAGTCATTTTGAAA